TCATATTAACCCCATAAATTTAAAACCTTAGGTTAATATCCATCCTCCTGACCTCAAACTCTAAAAGATAACYGCAGAGGTTTAACGTCTCAGGTCAACCTGGTATAGGAAATGGCGCCCCCTTCATTTCTGGAGTGCAATGATGCTACGTCCAAATATGGTATTGGTCTGACACATCGGACCCGCCCCTTACTGTTTGCTGCAGCGAGGTGTATTTGCTTTTGTCTGGTTCAGAAGTCTTGATTTTATTTTATTTTTTAGATAAGAATCCATGACCTCAGTCCCTGGCAGAGACTAGTTGTTAAACAAAACTCAGAATTTTCTCAAAACATTTGCAGGTTTTTTGTTTCTTCATGTGAGTCAGGGAGCTTCACAAAGTTGTTACTTGAAGCAGCAGGAAAGGAACCAGTTTTTCAGTTCGATCAATAATTAATGTGTCTCATGTTGGACGCCTCGGGTTTGTTTTTACCTTTGTTTCAAAAACCAAAGAGTTYGGATAAAAAGCTCAGTGTTGAAGGAATGACATCATATAATCTGCTTTGTGTTCAGCTTTAAAAGTCTGACTCGTTGGCTTTTTTCTTTGAAATGTTCCCACCTGGACTTCAACCATAACTTAACCAATTAGTGCACAATCTTCAGCTTTTACCTTAAAATCTGGTCACAGTGTTTATATATTTCAGATTTATTATATTCTGTCAGTTTTGTGGAAAAATCTTGAACGTTTCCAACTTTTGACTCCAAGTGAGTAAATAAAGTCAGCTCGGATCTGAATGGACGAGCTCCTGATTGTCATCTTTTGATTTTAAAGTGTCCTGAAGTCCAGATTTTAGTCTGTTTGTGTTGGTTCATCTGACTCCAACAAAACTAAACATTTGTTTCGAGGACACGAAGATGTAGTTTTAGATCCTAAACCTCCATCACTGCAAACAAGTCTAAACCTTCCAGAGACGTGAGACCAGAACAGAAATCACAGAAAGTAACTCAAACGTTTTTTTTTTTCTGTCAGGTAAACCTCGTCTCATCTTCAGGATGAGTTTGGATTATGAAGCCCTTCATTCTGACAACTTAAAGTCCCGTTATTTTCCTCTTTTCCACTTCCCGTCGTCGTGCCTGAAACCTGGAACCGAGATCGGCACCAAACATAAAAATGAAGCTCGTTAGGCCCATAAATGCACATTAATCGCACTTATGACAGCAAAGAAAAGCAGGGTGTGGGGAGAGGTGTTCCTCTTGAAAATAGATTTCTATAAAGGCTTTTAATAATAGTCATCTATAAAGAGGAAAACAATCGGCTGTTGGACAAATGTGGGAAGATTTCCTCGATTTTTTTTCCCAAGCAGCTTGGGTTTGGCACCTGCTGAACGGCCTCCATCACCAGCCTCTGATTGCACTTTGGATAATGACGTCCTCCGTCATCCCCTCAGGTGATAATGGAGCCCATTAGGAATGACTTGTGGGAATATGAGGCCTCTGCTATTTTGTTCTCCCTCCAGATTAGAATAACAGCACTGCATCACAAGAGAAACACATCCACACAAGCCACAATAAAAATATAAAAAAACAGCTTTAAAACKGATGGCTCTTTCTGTAAAAAAAACAATTATTCTGGTTTAAAGAGAACTAACAAAAAACAGAGACTCTTAGGCTGTGTTCACGCCAGGTTTAAATGTCAGCAACATGTTGGGAATAAAAAATAAAACCTGCGAGACCAGTGTGAAACTGAAACCACCAATATGASTTTTTATGAACTGAACTTCTGTTCAATCATTTCAATAAATGTTCCTTCAGCAAAGATAGAAGCAGGCAGATGTTGGAGGGCTTTTTCATTTGGCTAAAGAGGCAATAAATGCTTATGATTTTATCGCCACAGTGAGCAACAAAAACAAAATGTACAGCAGGAGGGAGACCATGAATGTGTTTGATTTTTTATTATCCTTGAATGAAGCCATTAAAACCATCAGCACAGCGAGGACGCAGAACAACAGCCTTAATGTTGGGATGGAGGGCAAACAAAAGAGTMAGCTCTGAGAATAAAAAATGTAAGAAATAATGGATCAAACTTGTTTTCTTTAAAAAGCTGCYGTGTCTAGTCTGGACTGGAGATGGCTGCTATCTCCAACGTCACCACTAGATGGCAGTAATCACTGTATGCTGATCCTTTAATTTAGTTTTAAAACCTATCATGATTTTGAATCTTTTTTTCCCCAAAAGCCAGAGGAGAATGAAGACCAAATTGTAGTTTGTACGTCCAGACCTTATTTTGAGTTCCATCGCAAATAATTTGACATATTTCTTCAGACGTCATAGAAAAATAGAGAAAACTGAACAGGTTGAAAAATATGACAGAATAAAGAATATAAAGATATCTACGCAGCACCARGAGAATCTATATTAAAYTTTTCTGCCTCTTAAAGACCCCAAGTMCACAACAAAATGTATTTAAYGGCTAAAAAAAGTGGATTTTGCAGAAATSTCCCCTTTAGATAGAGGAATTTTAGAATTGATCTTTAAAACTTTGCTGCTGTCATCCAGTCAATTGTTTGTTCAATCCAGTTTATCGTCATTAGTTTTGGGCAACAAGTTCAATCAAATCAGACTCAAATCAGTTACAATTAAATCAATCACGAAATGCCTGTTAGAAAAAACGTTTTTCTAAAAAAAAAAAATAAAAAAAAAACTGCCGAACGACTCAAATAAAAGACGACGAGCCGAACAATGGGCCTCATACAAGAACATGTTCGTATTTTTATCCTAAATTTCTCTTACTTTTGTT